GCCTTCCTACGCAGCTCAGCTCAATTCTAGTTTCCCTTCACTGCTCTGTCTGGGACTTCTCCCACAGAGATGGATTTCACTGGCAGACTTTTAGCCGGGCCAATCAGAGAACAGAATGTCGATTTTCTGTGCAGTGTCTGCTTGTAGTTTATTTTACCTGGGCCAATCAGCAAACAGAAGGCGGAGTTTTGAACAACGTTGATTTTATGCACAGTGTCTGCTAGTTAGTTTAGCATACAACAGTGTAGGAAGTGAATGAAGCCAGTCTGTGTTGATAAGGCTTCCAAATTAAATTAAATGTGTCTGACAAAGCAGCAGCTCTCATTTACAGTCGTCTCATTTGGCTCGGTACTTCTCTCCACTCAGTAGGGTTGTTTACAGCACACGCAATTTCCAGTTAGCTTCTTAGCTTAGCCTCCTTCACAGCGACAACACACACATGCTTCAGCAGAGGCCACGCCTCCTGCAAGAATCGCTTCTCTATGCAGCAAGTCCAGACCCTCGTACGAAGCAAAGTGAAGGGCGGGGTCTGGTTTGAACCAGGCTATACATAAATATTAAATCCTAATTCTAAATGTGTAAGTTTATAAAAACTGCACATCAGTGCATTTGGGTCTATTCCATAAAAAAAAACTAGTTTGTTTTCACATACAGTGTATTGTCCTTAAACCCTTGTTTATGTKAACAATCTCTGGAAATGTTTTGTTGTTTGTGGCAAATCGACATGGAAAAAAACAAAACAATTACACAAGTAATGCTGTGTTTGTTGAACCCACTGCAGCTTCCATGTCAAATCACTAACAGGTGCTGTGATAGTGAGATTTCAAAGAGACATGCTGTGTGCAGATAAAYCAGTGTCAAGCATGAAAACAGTTACATCCAAAAGGATGAGTATAGGAAACATTGTTTGGACTGAGGCTGAGGTTTGGTGCTCCTACACCTTGACAGGTTCAGTAGCACTAACAAACTATTTGTTACTGTTGTTCATTTGCTCTTGTAAGCGCAGAAAAACTATTGACTGCAGTCGTCCATTGTGGGCATGCGCGTTTTCACAACGATACCAGACACTCAAATCTGGATTCCAAAATATTTGGTGTCAAAAAAAAAAAAAAAAAAAAATCCACTATCGTTGAGTACACAAATGCAGGAGAAATGCTACAGTTTTACTGTGATGTGTTGCACTGAAGCTGAGTTATAAAGGAGATGTTAGAAAAGAGAAACAAAATATAGAAAAACAACCCAGTTTATAAAACAGCATTAAAGTAGTCACCAAAGGACATCTTTATTTTTTTTCTCCTTTTGGGGACAGATTAATAACAAAGAACAAATAATGGAGACAGCTCTGCAGCTTTGTAAGGCTCAGACAACTCGGGCCAGCAGGCAAGTACAGCCTCAAGACCAACTTGACCAACTCCACACTCCAACTTGGGTGCTTTAGTTGTGGTGACTTTGACAGAAAAGAAATACGCCGTCAATCAGTTCACTTAGTTTGGAAACAATATTTTAAAAAAAGCCTGTTCCTCGCTTTAAATTTCAGCGTCTGGCTTGGACATGCCTTATCAGCCACCAAGAATATCTCCTTTGTTCCGTAACATAAAGACGTTGCCTGTTGTCAAAGCACTTTCATCCTTGAACTCATGTCTCAATAGAGCTATAAATAGCCGGCCTCTAAAACTCCRCTCATGTCCAGCTCATTAGAGCTAGACATTACACAGGAATAATGGCCACAAGACTTGGCTTTAGAAAAGGGCCCAAACGAGCACAGTCAGGTGGAAATACAGTGAATGAATTACTGGACACAAAGCTGTAAAAATAGGAAGTCGAAGCTGAAAATGAAACTAAACTATTCAGTTTTTTTATTAAATTACTAAAATTTGCCAGATTACATTTTCATTTTATGACTCAATGGCTGAGCTTTTTTTTTATTCCTTTCTCTTGCTCCTCCCCTCAGCTCAGTAACTGACAGTCTGATCTGTCAAAACAGATATGGAGCACRGGGAGATCCAAGCAGAACGTTACAGGAATAACAGCAGGGTAAAAGGAGCACTATTAAAGAGAGAAGGCTTGTCCGTAATTGTCAAGTCCCTGTTTCCTGTCCCTTCTTACTAACGCTGAATTCCATGAGACCAGGACAGCTGAAGCCCAGTATCATTCATTACTGCCCCGGCTCCTCATTACTGTCTCCCCACACTTTTGAAAGACTCATTACCTGCATAATGTAAAAGTGCTTAGAACAGTCAGACAGTTCTTTTGCCTGAATTAATCACCGACAGGCCAAAAGGAAATTCTCACATTAAGAAAATTCAACTTCTGTCTCTCTACTTTCTCAAACTTCTCAAAGGTGTACTTTTTTCTTCTTTTTTTGAAGCGCACTGGCAAGAAGATGACAAAGCTGTCGTCCAAAGCGAGGCCAGGGTGCCAAAAAAAAAGATGAAGAAGAGATATATACTTACAGTTGACTGTGACTTTTACTGTTTTGGTGTCAGGAGAGGCGATGTCATTTAGAGCGCTGCACTCGTAGTCTCCGGCCTGATCCCTTGTGATGCCRGTGATGTTAAGATATTCGCCGCTGTCGTACTTCCTCGCTGGAAACAGAGAAATGGAAGCAAAGTACTTACAACGTGTCTGCACAGAAAACAAACAATCTATATCTCAAGGCTTTCATGGAGTCCATATTTAGTGAGCATTTGTGATAAATTGCTAAAAGTCTAAGGGGAAGATGCATTGCAATTAGACATCATATTGAGCTCCTGATTACCTTCGCTGCACTCTAAAATAGCCGTGCATCAGCAGCCAACTGAWCTATTTTTATTGATRTGGTGGCAGGAAATAATAGTGCATTCCCATTCATCCACTCATCATTTGTTCCTTTCAAAGCATGCACTCGGAGCTACCTCCTGCGAAGCAGACATATTTGATGGCTCGGTGCACATTAGTGCTGTGCTCGGTGGTGTCAAAGACAAGAGCCAGCGACGCATTAAGACTGGTTTCCCATCTGGAGGGATGGCGCATTTAAAAACTGCAGCGCCGCRCAAACACGTGCGCTCGCTGTTCTAATTAACAGAAAATTAAAATATACTAACACTGTTACGGCTGATAAACTCAAGCTCACTTTGCACATGCATTGCTATTAAGATTTAAATGAGGAAAAACACAATGGTGCGCAGRATAATTCGGTTCGAATCATCGGAGATAAACATGCAAGGGAGTGGAATTGGAATACTTGTGTGGTGCATTTAAACCCTCTGAAGCACAATTCAATATGTTTTTCATTTCGACATGCACACAGATGGTGACAGAGGCACGCATTCGCTAGTTCAAAGCTGGAAACCAAACAGAGGCTGTGGCACAGTTTCACCCAGAACAAAAGAATGCAAATGAAGTTTACCTTTATCAGCGTTGAGCTTGTGCTAGTTATTAACATTAGAGCTGCCATGAATAGGTTGATTCATTGATGGATAGAGAGTTAATTGGCTACTATTTCTGAAGCCACTTAATCAAGCCAGTCATTTATCAAGTGATCCATGGTCTCAGCTTCTAAATGCGAGGATGTGACACTTTTCTTTGTCTCCGCTCTAAGCTAAACAGCTCTGAAGTTCACACTGCTGATTATGTATAATTCACATCACCTTAAGCAGTGAAAAATTGAGCATCTTTCACAACTTTACTAACAATGAATAGACAATGATAAATCACTTAATACAGTAACAATAGCTGTTAGTTAAAGCTATATTTAGACTAAAATGATTACAGTGTGTCGGATAAAATGACTCACTGTTGAGGGATTTGAGCTGTTGCGAATGGCAGCTAACAAAACACCTGAATTGGTTGTAAATTGTGCATTTCAGTGTTTTTGTTGCCCCTATAATACTCACAACACACAAAATGTGTTTTTCCTCAGAGCACAATTAATTTTTGTCAGTGATGCCTGTGAAGTTTATTATTAAATCTCTTTATCATTTAAACAGTTTAAGCAATATAAAAAACAGACATTGTATTACAGAAAAAAATAAACGTCAGTAATGGTGTGCCACCTGTTGCCTTATCTTTTTCTTCCTTTTTTGCTGTGTTTACAACACTTTTAAAGCATTTTATTATTACATATTATGAAAAAGTGACTTTGTTGAGCCCAGAGTGTTGCTTTGACTCATTCATGCACGTTTGAGAAATCCTTGAATCTCCTAYGGTAGCAACTTGGAGCTGCCTAAACTCTTGCTGGTACAAAGCACCACCTATTTACACAAAGCTCCTCCCAGCAGCTCAGTCTGCAGCCGAGCTCTCGCCSCACAGAGCAACTCCTCCTACAAAGCAATGTTGTGAAAACGTGCTGAAGTGGGAGTGTCGGAAAGAGTAGGAGGTTCTTAAAGAGACAGAGGCCAATTTCAAGGAGTTTAGACAGGCTGTGATGCAAAGTCAAATTTATTTATGATRTATACAGCGTTTATATAACAACTGAAAGTAACATAGTTACTTGATTGTGGTATAAAATTGAATTATGTGCCTGGAAAATACAGAAGACCCCCCATTTAAGAAATGCAGGTGTGGTTTTATCAGGGAGTCCGTCCCAACACACAATCTCTGAAAACCTAAACCCAAAACCTAATCTCTGAATTGTTCTTCTGTTGTTTGGTCATTTATATCCTGTCTTATGATGTTAGTTCTTTTCAATGCAAAAGAATGTGTCTTCAGTTCTTCATTTTTTTGAATGACCTATTTTTAAAATTCAATAACATTTTTACACACAAATAGATTGTAAGCATGATGGTGGTTTTCGATAGAACAAAGAGATATTTTTAAAAAATTGGGGGGATCAAATAAAGTGCTAACATTGACAAAACTGAGCTCAACAGCCTCAGAGACAGCCTCAGAGACCTGGCACTGACTCAGCGATATCACATTTAAAAAAGAAGAGGAGCCTAAATCAGAAAAAAAAAACAAGTCAAGAAAAGGGTTTTCTCTCACTTGGAGCAACAAATGCCTCCTGCTTGTGAGATGAATTCTCATAATGCCATCGCAACCTTGGTGGCTTTTTATCTACTGTGTCATACAAAAAAAAAAAGAAAGAGATTTAAACCCTGAAACTGTGGGCCCTGTTGATAATGAGCTTCTGCCGTGGAGGCAGTAATATTGGTGGCAACAAAAACCGCAGCAAGAAACAAAAACTGAAAATCTGATCTCTAAACAAGCATTAGAAGGTTCTGGCTCATATGCCTAGAAAGCACAGGAATGGAGACGTAACACAAATGGCTTTATTTTCTGTGGCTGTCAACACATGGCTAGGTTCTGCACTACTAAAAAAAGCTTTTTTCTGAAGGATTTTTCTTTACTTAATCCCACTGATGTGGGAGGAGAAGTGCAGTCAAATGAGTCAATGGAGCAAATGTTACAGTGCCAGTGTGAACTCTAGAATACCAGGAAACTGTGCAAACAATGTTGAAGCACCCTTTTTCTGGTACTAAGCAGCCTTCTAAACAGTATGTAGCAAGATGTTGATGTAGTCATGTTATTTAAATAATAGAAAAAATTAAAAAAAAGAAAAAAGTAAGGTATACAGCATGCTTGTGTTAAAATTATCTCAAGTTTGACAAGGAAGCAGGCACCAGGTACAGAGTTGTGTATCTGAGATCAAAGTTCTAGTGTGACAGATGTAAAGATATTGGATATGATCTCTGTCGATGAGCAAGTAGGTCTCTTGTTCAGACAGCARCTTCCAACATAAGGCTGAAGGTTCAAGCACCATTGTTTCTTAGCAAACTTGCTGAAATGTCCTTAGGATAGACAGTAAATTCCATACTGCCTACACTTTTTTTTCTTCAAACGAAATAAAAGTTCTGCTGTATGTTAAGGGATCTGAGACTGTTTGCACATGTTGGCCTGAACATGTTTTTTGTTTATCTATTCTAATAAAAGTTGCTGTTTGTGACATGTGAAAACTCCTGATTACTTAAAAAAAATTGTATATGTTTATTACATTTTTCACTTAAGCACGYTGCCATTTTGTTACTGACACAATGCCTTCTGGGGATGATGATTGTGGGTTCCAGTTTAGAATAAAACAAAGAGTCAAGGCTAAAAAACTGTAATGTGTGACTTAAAGGTTATATTTTGTATTACTTTCTATGTTCTGCACAAATGAGTTGAAACAAGCAAATATTATGTTTTGTAAATTATCTGTAGAGTCATGCCATATATTGTAATATGTATATTAGCTCGGAAGCTAATGCAAAAGCTAAAAAGCTAAGCTGAAGTTCTTCTTCCATGAAGCAGCTCTGTTGTCCTCCGTCTGCATTTTCAGTTTCAGGCTKAGKTATTTCTACMTTCTCCTCTCTGTCAAAATGCTTGGTTTCATTTAAAAGGAGTGAWYATCAGACATTGTCCAAAATTAACGTTCAAGCAGGATACAGCGGAGCAGCCGGTAAACATCAGTGTTTATCCATATTCTAAAAAAAAAAGTTGAGTATATGTCCTGTGGGTGAGTTCTTCTAAATAGAAAAATGTTTTGTCTCTTCTGCAAAAGACTTCTTAAATCTGAAGAGTTACAGGTAATGCCAGCCTTATTAGCATGGTGGACAAATAGATTCAACAACGACACTCAAAACTTGTTCACATGCAAAAGAAGACAATCAGCCTAACCACTGATCGCTAGGGCTCTAATTATCGCCTATTGTTCAAAGAGGGCTGAGTCATACTYGCAACAACTTCGTAACAATTGTAAATGAGGTAAACACCYTGATTATGTCTATTRTCCCCCTCTTATAATGCTGTTGATGCAAGTATGACTCAGCTATCTGTGAACAAAAGGCGATAATCAGGGTCCTAATGATCAGTGGTTAGGCTGATGGTCCTCTCTTGCACCCGAACAAACAGTTTTGATGGTCATCATTTGTCCACCATGKGAAAGTACTGCTTTTAGATTTTTCCACCTGTATTACTGAGATGAATCAGGACATTTATCCATAATGCTTTGCTTCTTAAATAATACGGAAATGCCCATGTGACACATTTTTTTTATTTATAAAAACTTAACAGCCAACAGTATCTTTGCACTCATTTTTTATAGTTGAAGTAAATGTTTTTTAAATAATGTTCAATGTTACGACTAGTTGGAGGTCCCTTTAAACAAAACCACTACTTACAGGGATTAGACAATGAAACTGAAACACTTGGTCTTGCCCATACGAACCCCTGTCAGACAGCTTCCTCTTGCGTCCACAGTTAATCCTGTTGGATGTGGTTGGTCCTTCTTGGTGGCATGCTGACATTACCCTGGATACTGTGGCTCTTGATACATCACAAAGACTTGCTGTCTTGGTCACAGATGCACCAGCAAGACGTGCAACAACACTTTGTCCTCTTTTGAACTCTGGTATGTCACTCATAATGTTGTGTGCATTGCAATATTTTAAGCAAAACTGTGCTCTTACCCTGCTAATTGAACCTTCACACTCAGCTATTATTGGTGCAATGTGCAATTAATGAAGATTGGCCACCAGGCTGTTCGAATTTAGCCATGAAACCACCCACACTAAAACGACAGGTGTTTCAGTTTCATTGTCTAACCCCTGTATGTTAAATGAGGACAAAT